CACCATCTTCATAATCACTATCATCATCACCATTTTTAATCATAATCACAACCAAAACCACCACCATCATCAAAAGATATTCTACAAAATAATGATCCACAGATGGCTGATGTTTAACATTTCTTGAAGAGATGGCAACAGTCTTGTGGGGCAGACAGACAATTTGACCCACAGTTGCACCTTACCTGTGACAACATCAAYGAGGTAAATGGATATACTAGGCTTGCCATCGGTCATAGCTTCTGTCCCCAARGARATTARGTTGGGATTRAGGTACTTGTAGAGGACACGCCTATCACCCAGAACCTTGCCTTGGGAGTGAACATGCTCAGCTTGACTCTTGGTTGCTAAAGAAGTAAATACAATGAAGTCTGTTAAGAATGAGAAAATGCATATAGAGCAGACACACTAAGGTAGTAAGCTATGGWAATCCATGTTATCTTCTTTAGACTACATGATCGTCAGGCTGAGCATCATTGTACTCCATAACCATCACCACTACCATCATTATCATCATTACCATGCATCACCAACACCATCATCATCACAATGCACCACCATAAATGCACCACCATAAATGCACCACCATCACCATGTTCACAATGCACTACTATCATCATCATCATTACTATGCATCAACACTGCCATCATCATCATCACAATGCACCGCCATCACCATGTTCACCATGCGCTACCATTATCATCATCATCACCATCATCATCCCATGCACCACCATCACTATGTTCACCATGTACTACCATTATCATCATCATYACCATGCATYRYCACCAYCATCATCCCATGCACCACCATCACTATGTTCACCATGTACTACCATTATCATCATCATCWCYATGCATCACCACCRCCATCAACATCATCATCACAATGCACTACCATCATCTTCATCCCATGCACAACTATCATTATCATTATACACTACAGTKGCAAATCTAGGATAGGGGTACWGTGTGTRCAGCCCCCTACAGGTAAGATGAACTGATATCTACTACTTCATTGCTACTTGAGTTTGTAAATGTCCTGATTATAAATGGTGCACCTCCTGCTAAAAGATCCTGTATCCACTCTACACCACCACTTAGCTACCATCATCATCATCATTCCCATTATTAGACCTTACCTATAGTTGTAATCTTTTGTTGGCTTGGAGGAATATGAACATTCCACATCTGCTGTGCTCTTTGAGGTTTTGAGCCAGAATCTTGCAGCATGTAACCAACAATGTCACCTTCGTGTTTGTTTACCAGGAAGAAGAACAAGGACCTAGCTTGTTTGGATATCATTTGATTTGTTTCTTCAGTGTCAGGAAATATATGGACGTTCTTTTCTGAGTCCAGCATKAGAAGTATTTTTGCATGCTTGCTGTCTGTAAAGAAGATAGTCAGAGAAATATTCAGATGGTTCAAATTCTATTATTTTGAACCATTTCCCTGGTCCCAGGAGGTTTGAGACAACAGGACTCCACTTTAATAGCAATAGCCCAGTTCCAAATTACCACTGCACCATGTTCCTTGGTTACAAATTCATTTACTCAGGGTTAGCCTCGAATCAGTGTCTAAATATTCACAAATACCAATGGTAAAGTAAAGAATGCAAAACTTCAACAATGCAAACGCAGACCTTGAATATCCTGCACAAAATCAAATTTAACCCTGAGCAACAGAGAACTTGAAACTGGAGTATTCCAAGTTTGGGAAAAAACCTGGGTCAAGTTGGCACTACAGTAAACATTATGAGACTGTTTGAAGGAATGAAATAGATGCCATYTTGAAAATATGTCCAATAARACAGTCCAACAATGCWCTGAAATACCAACTCAACTCAGTCTTATCTTCAMCCTTGGAATAGCCAATACTGTATCTATCCTGACTTACCTATCTGTGGTAAAAGCATTGCCTGTACAACTGTGAATGGCAGAAGAGTACCCTGAGGAGCATTTTTATCAAGAGATTTGCCATTCACTGGGTTAAAAACATGCAGTATGGTACCACCACTTGATCGYGACTTCCCAAGAACAACACACTGGGCAGGAAGTGGAAAGTGAGCTACTGTTCTTTGGGTGTACAAAAGGAAAAAATTCTTGCCATTATCAGAAAATGGAGCCAAATCTTGGAGAAAGTATTGCCATAATATGCTGCCATCTAAGAAAAAGGAAATAATAAAATAAAGTTTTGGAAATATCTTCAGAAACTACCCTAATTTTTTCACCTTGGGTGTAATGTTTGCCCATTTGAAATGATCTGTCATTTCCTAGAGTATCCTTTCTTCGTTTAATGGTTGTGCATGAGAAGACACATAAATATGGATACAACTGTTGCAAAGAATCTTACTCTTTTGATAATGAGATGTGGTCTGAAATAGAACAAAATTATCCCCAAGCTAAATGAGTATTATTTAATACAGAAAAAATTAATATTGTATATACCTAAGGAATCCAATGCAAAAATCTTTCCAGAATCTGTGACAGTCAATATAAGTTTACGCAGATTAAACTGATCTCTCGTCAGCTGTTCATCTTCTGTCGTGGTGACATGTTGGGTTGGGACACGTCCTTGTTGGGCATTCACAAAGGTTTGGAACTGCTTTACAAGAGCTTGAAATTGCTTGGCTTGAGCACGGATTCTTCTGATGAACATTGATAGCACATCATCTGTGGTGGATACGGTGAACAATTATGAATGTGAGAGAGTTAAATATGTATATAAATGACACTTCTAAACTGTATTTTGGAGAACAGCGTGAGCCACTGTATTTAATTTTTGGACCCCCACCTGAGTTCCTGGGAAAATTTGATAAAGTAAGCATTAAAAACAATTTAATGTGGTAAGTTAGATAAAATTTAATAATGAAAATTAGGCATTGAATCATGAAGATCTTTTAAATTTTGTCATTTTTATCATAAATTGCAAACAGGACAGAATCATGTTGGGAGAGTGGGGGGAAAAGAACAAAAAAGAAAACAAGAGAGGAGCAAAAAGTATGAAAAATCAGRAAGATTATGGACAGGTTAAAGCCATATTGTTTTATTATTCATCACTGCATTTCTACAAAGGGTCCCTTCTTTTGGTTTGGTAAGGGGAAAGAAGRGGAAATGGGGGTGGGGTTGAGAAGTAGGAAGAAGAATATTAATCTAGTTACCATTTGGGTTTGATCCAAATTCTTCTTGTAGAGTATCAAAATTAGCTTGAGAAGGAGAAAAAGGTAACTCCACAGCATCAACTGCAGAAATCTCAGCCAAAGCTTCCTCTCTAGACCACATAATCCTTCCTGGCTGTTGGATCAGAGACATGGCATGATCACTGGTCAACAGGAGCACTCGATATCCAATATTTTGATCTTTTTTGGCRAATAAATAAACACCTAGTCCTTCAGGCTTTCCATTATGAATGGATTCAAGTTTGACTTTCTGGGCCAATTCACTGAGTTCTTTGCTTGTGTCAAGGTCTACGCATTGTAATTGAATGACCTTATCTTTTAAAGTTAATGACACAAGTATTGCCCTGTCATTTATTGTTGAGCCAAAGAATATTGAGTTGTCATGGTACTCCTTAAGCAACTTAAAGAATATGTTTGTATCCATTTTTAACAACAGGTGATGATTCTCTGAAATGTGAAGCACAAATTCAGTCCTTAAATTCCAAGAATTAGTATGCTTGCCAAAAGATTGCAGCTTGGGACTTGATCCTGTTATGGTTTCACCTGTAAAACTGGCCAGAGGAATGTCTATACTTTCACTTTTCTCCTCATGAATTTGAATAACATGGAAGTTCAGAGTTGATGAATCAGTGCAAACGAGGTTTCCCTTSACCTGTATGCAAGATGGGCTTTCCCTAACCCAGGGTGCCACAATCACATGAGATGTTTTTGCTTCACCTTTGTCTATGGTTAGTTTCTGGATAAAAATATTAGACTCATCTTTAGTTCCGATGACATGTAATATACCCTCAAAATGAGAAAGGGAATGTAAGTTGATCAACAAAGAGGAAGGTTGAAAAGACCACGATTCTGATCCGTCCTGCAGTGAAAATGACTTCACAATATTAGCCGAAAGAATGATGATACTTTTCTCTCCATTAAACTCCACCAATGCTGCATCCATCCCATCCCATCCATCCACTGAATCCACCCTAGAGGGGGTRGGTAGGGGACCAGCATACATCATGGCTTCCCAGAGCAAACTCCCAGATCCAGTATCCCAGGATCTGACGAACTTTCCACTACCAGAGATACTGACAAGAAAGCTTCCTTGGTGAAGAAGGGCATCTATTTGACCTACACTTTCTTCCAGAACAATCCTCCATATTATTTGACCGGTTCTAGAGTTCAAAGCTGCCAAGACATTGGATTCAGTGGCGACAAAAAGTCTCTTGCTACTATGTGTAGAGACGTCGAAGTGAGAAAATTTCACTTTACCCAGGTAGGATTTACGCCAGTCCATCAAGCCAACTTGATCTTCATACAAAGAAAGGCCTGGTTTGGCGCAAAAAAGCACAAATAGTACAAGAAATGTTACAAGAAAAGACAAAGAATCCGCCATCTTGAAGGCAAAGCACGAGAAGGCCTGGTAGCGTAGMATTAAAATCACCACAGGCAGTCCATCTTCGAAGTAAGAAGCAAGCGAAAGCAGCTGACATTTGGATCAGGTATGAAGATTTTTATCATAGCAAATACACAGTTATTTGTCTTTAACTTTTAGAACTGATAGAAACTCATTTTGTGCAAAGATATTCTCGATTGAATTTTTTGTTAGCAATCAGGATTCATTGATTTATTTTACAAATGTTTTTTCTCTGACTTAAATTTAAAATATTTGATATAAAAAAAGCTAAAGAGATAGCTGAAAGGTCTGTTAGTATTCTGAATCAGTGACAAAACATTCGAAATGAAATAGATAATTCTTTAAAAACTAGTGTGAGCTGCGTCGGTGTTTCTAATGAAACAGTAATGATGAAAAGGTAAATTATACACCGTGAAAAGATGAAAAAACTTACTAAGTAAGATAATTCTAATATAATTCTAATATAATATAATTCTAGATAATTCTTTGCGCAGTCGACTAGCGTGACGTAATGCGGGCGGGACGCGGGAAATACCCGGGTCACGCGGGTTAGCTTCCAGACTTCCTTTCTTTCAAAACACATCACTTGTCACAAGCTATGTCGGGAGATGTCAGAATAGCGGAGTTGATCCACTCTAGCAAGGCTTTTCGGGTATTCATTATCCTTTAACGACTACTTCAATCTTCTTTTCTACTTTTTCAAACCTTCCTTAATCCTTAGTAGTCTCAACATTTATCTGAAACTCAAAGAGTACTCGAAAAKTTTGCCTTCGTAATATATCGCTTGCCTTGCTCTTTTAAAAATGCTTTCCTAGCAAAATCGTTTTACTAGTATAATTTTATTTTTATTCGTTTGATTAGTTTTATTTGTTTTAGTTGCAGGACGATTCCATTGCTGAAAGACCAATTAACAGAGGTATACGAAGCTCTCATTAATCATATCTTTATAGCAGCTCAGAGACTGTTATTCCGATGCAGAATATAAYATGTGCAACAACAGAGCGCATGGGCATTGTTATAATAAAGCATAATACGTACAAAGAATTTAATCATCAAGAAACACAGAATTGTTTGTATTGAATTTGGAAAAATATCATATCTTCACTCACTTCTTCCCAATGATAAATTCCGCTTTCATTTTTACGAGGAAACGTTTTCCAAAAATTCCCCTAATTATTCATTCTGGAAGCTAAATTAACATAATCTTATTGTAAAACTATTCTAGACTGTGCCCTTGAGGACTTGAAGAAATTCCGACAGTCATTCAAGGTAGGAGGATTTTATTATCTCATTATATTTCCCCCCATTTTATTTCGTAGTTAGAACAATGTGTCAAATTTTAGAGCTTACTGTACTGTATTCTGTGTTATTGTTGATGAATTGAGTATAAACTTAACTGTTTGTTGCAGTTACACATATCTACAGAAGAGGAAACATCAAGGTAACAGGCCATTCCTAGTTTATTTGATTGTTTCGTAACACATTGGTTTTAATTCTAGGTTGTAGTAGAGTTTTTCAAACATTTATGTACTGTCTCTACTAAGCACCCAGACCTTCACTGGAGACTAATAGTTGGTATCCACTCATGAATATATCAATTGAAATATTTTGGCAACTGACCTAGAAAAAGGGATAACAAGCTAAGGTTGAAGTAGTTTTGTTTTCATAAATTTATTGTATTGATTCTACTGCTACTGTACCTCAGTTTAAAGCTATTGTTGCCCAAAAGAAGACATTGCAGACACCCATGTAATTGTCCCCATATGAATTTTTTGTGTTTGAAAAGTGTATAAAAGTAGCTATAAATAATATTTAACAAATATTTTTAATAAATTTTATTGTGTAGGAATTCCCAGGGGAATGAGCGTCAGATATAAAAAATTACAAAGTTTGTTTGCAAGAGGATACCTTTACGAATTCTGAATATTTTCTGGAACCACACATTGTAATACCCCAAAACAGCCTTTGGGCTGATTAAAGTAAAGTAAAACCCAAGACTCCAGAGGTATCCATTACTGCTTTGCCCCGATCGTTAAGTTCAACCCAAAAACCCAGTGGTATTCTTCGATTGCACGTTACGTCATCACAGCCTCTTGGGGGAGCATTGGTGCCATCATGATTTAACAAAAGATGTCTTATTAGCATCCATTGTTAATGGCACCACAGTGGCTGCCATGCTTTTGTTTTTAACTCTCTTTGGAATGCTTGCAATCCATCAATACACTACTGCTTTGCCACCCTCATTAAGTTCAACCCAAGACCCCAGAGGTATCCACAACTGCTTTGCGACCCTCAGTTTCTATAAAGCTAAGCAGAAATGTTTTTATTTTAGGGAGAAAAGGTTCAACAATAACAATACAGGTGTAATTAGTGGCATAAGTTCAGAAGAGTCATTTACACCAGATACATCATCTTATGAGAAGAAAACAGATATGAGTGGAGTAAATATGGACGATAATAAATGCCAAGAGAACAAGGAAAGTCTTTGTAATGGTGATATGGATCCTCCAGTTGAAGGTACAGGAATCTTCTCATTAGGGAAGGGACAGTCACCTTATGGCTCATCATCGAAAAAAAAACCTTTGACTTAATTACATCATAGTTCATAATCATGGCATGACATTTCTGTACTGGTCAAGTGTTTTGTAGATTCTGGAGCATTTTTGCTATGACTGTGAAAAGCTTACGGCATGAACGTAGTCATGACACAATAAGGCATTATTATAATAAGCTAGACCAATCACATTGCACAAGAATTTACTCTCAATCCAATCAAATGCCCAAAACAGGGCATAAACATGGTGGGGCGGACATGGTTCACACCATGCAATACCAGACTAATCACACTACGTGAGAAAAACTGAAATTAGCCAATCCAAATTCTAGAAAATATCAAGGTTGCAGTAAGACAGGAGTATGGTTCTACGAAAACTGGCTCTATCCAAACCTTTTTAGTAATATGCATAGGTATATTTATATTTATCAGAYATATTCCAGCCACCTGCCATCTCTGATAATAAGGTGAAGAAGAAGAAAAAGAAGAAAAGGGCCAGTGATAGTCTGTGTGGAGGATTTCATGGTATGCAATCCAGAGCTGAAAATAACTATAGACATACCTCTACAGTATTTCAATGAATATTCCTTGGAAACTGCCGTTGCACTCCATTACATGCAAAGAATATTTTCAGAGCATTAAAATTTTGTTTATCAAATAGATGCACAGTATTCATTTTTAATACTTTTTTCATAGAGCTTAATAGGTTATGATGAGAGCTCAAGCCCGGGGGGTGGTACTCCGCCAGATTTTGGGTAGGGGTGTTCCGCTGGGATTCTGAAAGGGGTACCCTGTTTATGACAAAAAAAAAAACAAATTTGTAGACCCTGTTCATGACAAAAGATATAATTAATTGTACTGAGTTCCCGTTTCAATTTCGCGTATCATGTTTTTACGACCATAATAACCAGTAGAAACCCTGAATATGACAGGAAACTCAGGAAGAACTTGGAACTTGAGTGAAATTGCATACCCTGTTTATGACAAGAAGCTCGAAAAACCATACCCTGTTCAGCGGATCATCCCTGTATAGTCCATATATGGGAGTACCCCCCCGCCCGGGAGCTCAAGGAGAGTGTATATCAATTCCATTATTCCATTCCCTCTTTYTAGATATTTATAAACTGACAGGAGAAGTTCTTGGTCAAGGGGCCAATACTGTTGTACAGAGTTGTATAAATACAATGACAAACCATGAATATGCTGTAAAGGTATGGATATTTAATTTGTGCTGATTGGCCAGCATTGATCATGTGATGCAATAGTTGCCAGACACTAACTTTTGAAAGCCAATAATTCTGGTTCATTTCAATCAATCATACATACCCTTGTTGAGTTCATACAAGCTGGTTGCTACACACTGTTTATTTTTAGTATGTATCTTTATRATTGTCATATTTGTGTGTCCTCAGTTATGGAATTAAGTACCAAATTTTTTTTCTAAAAATATGACAGATTGTTCAAAAATCAGCAAGAGTAGAAAGAAAGAGGATTCTGAATGAAATAGAATTACTGTACCACTGTAAAGGACACAAGTAAGAAATTAACAATATTCATTGTTTAAAAATGTATTAAGAAATAATATCAACTGTCCAATAGTTATTTAATATTGTGTAGTTCCAGAAAATATCCATATCCCGCCAATGGAGGGAATTGGAAATTCTGGACGGGAGGGGGGTCATAGAAAGAACAAAATTACAGAGTTTATAAGGAAGAAATTGGACATTCCTAGTGTTAGGGGGGTCCTTTTATATTAATAAGTACTGAATAAAATATTGATTGATTGATTGATTGATTGATGTAAGGGTATGGAAATTTTCTGGAACTATCTTCACATCTTGAGGAATTCCTCTTGGACTTCAGTCAAGTACAACCTTTTCACTTTCCAAATTTTTTCTCTAGAAATATATTGGAGTGTATTGAATACTTTGAAGACAAAGACAAGTAAGTTGCATTATATCTTCACATCCACTTTTCCCTCAGCTAAATTATCAACTGATTATAAGGACCAATCATTATTTAGAGGGTTGGGTCCTCCATTTAAGGAGTTTAGAACAAATTGCTCCATGAAAAGGAAGGGTTAAAGAAAAACCAACTGTTGCACCAGCCTCTAATTAATGACCCGTCCCTATCATTATCCCCCCACACATCCCCCCACACACCACCACCACCAAACCCCCCACCCCTCCCATCTCAATCTAGCAACTAAATTCACTAAATGCTTATTTTGGTTTTAAGGTTCTACATGATCTTCGAAAAAATGAAAGGAGGTAATAATCGGAGTTCTGGTAATGGTTATAGTTACTGTACTGCTTATATATTTAAGATTTTGGGCATGACAACCTATCTGAATTTTATCTGAATTTGTTGAAGCATGCATGGCATGTTTGAAAATCAGCTATCTGAGCTGTCTACAGTGGATAAATAAAGTTAATTTATCGATTGATTGAATCGGAGACCCAGGTTTTTGGGAAGTCAACAGCATTGCGGCAGAAATGCCCTTGCCTCACGTCTGGGGTTAGCTCTCCAGTTTGATACTGGATTCAACATCACGAGAATAGAGTTTGTTAGGCTCTCCCTTTATCTCTCTGTTTTCTACGGATTCTCTGTTTCTCTTCCTTCCATTAAACTAAACAAAAATGCCAATATTTGTTGTAATAAGTTATGCATCCCCTGATTAATCAGCTCAGAGGTAGTTTCATGGTTTGATGAAGATGTGAAGGTCACTTCAGTAAGTGAATAATGACCACTTAGAAGTTGAATCCCTATAAGATGGTAAAGTGTGTGTATAAAATGATTGACATCATTTTCCCATGATAAAGGTCCTTTATTGAAGCACATCGAGAAGAGAAAAGTTTTCACCGAGAAAGAAGCCAGCATGGTTGTAAGAGACATTGCATGTGCTCTGGACTTCTTACACCAGAAGGGTTAGTATTGGATTAAAAAAATAAGAAAATAAAATAGGTCAGCTTTATTAATTCAAGATAGGTTATATTACATACAGCTTTTTCAAAAAAGGTTGGTGAAAGTTTTGTTGCATGTTGAACATTTACCAAGCTTAAAATTTATTATATTCATAGGTAAATTATGTTAGCACAGAAGAAAATAAAATAAAAACGTGTAGACCAAGATCAGAATACTAGCTATTATTGAGGGGGGGGGACATAAATGTAAATTAAGTCATTCAGGAGATTAAATTTTCATTTTGGCTCAACATAGAATGATCTTCAATTCCGAAAAACATCAATATAAAAATTCTTAATAAAGCATGAAATTATACTCCTACATTTCTCAAAAACCAATATGCAATACTCACGTTAATTTAAGAGCTTTAAGTAAACTGAGTGAAAGTTTATTTGGATAAATGCTTTCAGTTATAAATATTAGTTTTGTGCAGGAAGGGGGGGGGGGGGAACTAGTTACCACCCATATGTGCCCCCTGGGCTTAACAGTGAGGGGCTCATACAGATAAGCCACTCATGATAGTATATATCTAATACATGTATACCAGTGGTATTAATTTCTTTGAATACTTTATCTTTGTTATTTTTAGGTATTGCTCATAGGGATCTTAAACCAGAGAATATTCTTTGTGCTTGTGCAAATCAGGTATTAATGAAGAAGAAGTGCTTAAAAATTTCTTGTTGTCATCATCTTTATCATCATCATCTTCTTCTTCATCATCATCTTCATCATAGACCACAGTCATTATCATTGTCCTCATTGTTATAATCATCAATCAAATTGCACCATGACATCATCATCATCATCAACAACAACCAAACAACTTCACTCATCATCATCGTTCTCATTGTTATGATAATCAAACTCAAAACATTTATAAATCATACTGACTTGTGATATACTATGTAMTATTTTGTAGGTTTCTCCAGTAAAGATATGTGACTTTGATCTTGCCAGTGGTATAGATGGACTTAGCACCTCTGTGACCACACCTGAGCTACAAACTCCTGTAAGTATTCATCCAGTCCTGGTTTTAAGTTTGCAGTTTATTCAGCTTTATATTTCTGAAACTGAAACAACCTCAGGGAAAGCATGGGCTTTGAATAACAAAATATCCATGTTGTTCAGGTTGGCTCAGCTGAATACATGGCACCAGAGGTGGTAGAAGCCTTCAAGACCATGGCCACAACATATGACAAGAAATGTGATCTCTGGAGCCTAGGAGTTATTCTGTAAGAAACTTTAACCAGACATGTTTTAGTCTATTACACTAGGCAGCAAACAGTAGGGTATCCTTCCTTTTATCAAACAAAAGAASAATTGCAATGTCTCACGAGATTCAAGAACAAATGAATTATGAGTTTGAGAAGTTGTAAATATAGGATGTAGTGRTATTGCATGCGGAGGGAACCTCACGGAAGAGATGGAGAGTGGTGGTTGTAARTATAATTTTGAATACTGTATTGTTTTAGGTACATCATGTTATCAGGACACCCTCCTTTCTATGGTAAATGTGGTAGTGAATGTGGATGGGAAAAGGGAGAAAGTTGCACAGCCTGTCAGGTAAGTAGGCATGGAGCATCTTCATTTCTTGGTGAAATAGTTTGCATTTGACRTGACATTCATTATTAGGTATATATGCAGCTGCTTGATCTAAAGGGGTCTGACCATCTAAGCTTTTTACAATGAAAGTGGTGTRCATTGATTGTGAGGACAAAGAGTGGAAGGCAAAATATTCCTCCTTGCCCAACCTCCCTCCCCATCCCACCACAGACCAGAGTTACATTATGATAATATTGCATTCTCTGTTTTTTTTTTTGTATTGTAGGAAATGTTACTGCAAAGAATTCAGGAAAGTGTGTATGAGTTTCCAGGAAAGGTATCCTATTATGAACTTTCCTCATTCAATCTATTTGACATTGCATATTGTTTCTAAGGTTTTGCACGCACATGATATGGAAATGTTTTATTACTTATTATAATGTTTGCAGGAGTGGGAAGGTATCTCATGCCATGCTAAAGATTTGATCTCCCATTTGTTGGTGAGGGATGCCACTAAGCGATATACAGCAGAGATGGTGCTTGGCCATCCCTGGATAGACATGGTATGGAAAGTAATACTAATGTTAAACTTTCTCAAAGTCTTTTTCCCCAATGTTCTATTGTCTCTTGCTTCTCTTGTCTTCAGCACTCATTCTTGTGAATTCATACACTTGCAAATCCGRAAAAAAAAGGTGTGGTCAACTTGTAGGGAGTTTATACTAAATGTTTGTCCTTAATAGATAAATCTAATCTCTCATGAGTARTCTCATAAAATTTCATGACAAGTGAASGATGTAGTATTTCATGCATCTTGTTTCAAACTTCAAGGCTCTGATTGCTATGTGCTGATCGACCRTGTATTGCCTGATTTTCCTGTCATAAAATCCTGTTGTCTCCATSGGCACATAGCAATGAAAATCGTCGTGACATATTCACTTGTAAAAAGTCTCATAAGATTYAWTTCATGACAAGTGAAGGATGTAATATTTCATGCATCTCATTTTCAACTTCGAGAATAAAAATAACAGCTGCTCAATGGCCAGCCATGATGACTAAGTAACATCAGATGGATCAACCAGTTAAACTGATCGAGAGGACCCACCTATAAGTTATATTTTTGGCCAGATGTTGTCTGTTAACTTTATTTGCTATCGTTTTACATACCCATTCTTATATTTCTCACTGACAGGCTACTCATACAGTATTAGCTACCCCAACTCTCCTCAGCAGGTATGTACTTTATTAATTTTTGTTCAATTCCATTAAGTTTTATCCAAAACATTTGTGCAATGAAAACTGTGAAGTAAAAAGGAAGCAAAATGAAATTCATGAATGGAAATAGGAATGAAAATAAAAATGAAGGAATAGTAATAATATATCAAATAGGACAGGATTTTTGAAAAATGAAATAAAAATGAGAAAT